AAAAATTATTACAATGAAATAACACATTTGTGCACCTGATATTATGTTATCAGCTTTAGCATGAGTGTTATTGATCTAATACTTATCTATATGTCTCTTAGATTCACATACGCATGTACTGTATATCTGTATTTGAAGAGCTGCCTTGAGGTTTCAGATACAGTTTGCGAAGTGTATCGTTTTCACAGACTTGAGGAGAGGGCATGGTTTAATATACTGGAAACATAATAGTTGTAGCCTACTTGCATAAAACCAATAAAGCCACTCCTATTAAACAATTAAAATACTTTTTCATAATACACAGATGAAATTAAAATAATTTTATACTAGCATGCCTTCATTATGGCATCGGTCTGAAGGGACATTAATGTTGTGAAAACATGGTGAGTTTTAAAAAGGTTCATTTCCGAGCCAAAACAGGAGAGTATTGAAACGGGTGTACCGTATCTCTCACAACTTAGGCTTAACGTGTCTATAGTGCCTGCAGGAAGAGGGCAATTCTGACAGAACACAAAACGTAAAGAAAAATAAGATAAGAGTCCCAGAGGAGCTTCTTAAACACAATGTAAGAACGGGCTAGTCCATTTCTTAGATTCTCCTCCACCAAATCAGTCTAAACGCAGACTTTCTTTTAAAACAGGCAGCATTTAAAAGCACATTTGAATATCATTAAAAAGTGCTGAGGATTTGAGAGGAAAGGCTGCAGTGGATCACGATTTGGGGGATGAAGGGGGCAGATTTTGGATCTCACCTGTGAAAAAGAAGGAAACCTGCAGGTTGGGAAATGGAGAGCATCTGAAACTTGGGCGTTCTAAAGAAAAGCTCCTCTAAACATCCGGCCTTCAACCTCTAACCTCTTGATCCACGTCAGGGCCGGGGGGAAGCCAGAGCCCCTCCTGGCAAGCAACAGGCACAAGGCAGGGCACTCCCTGGATCTCAGCTCACACAGACACACACTCACACCAGGCCCCGTCAGCACAGAAGCAGTCTGTGGACTGTGGGAGGAAACCCCCCGCTGAACACAGACAGCACCCCAGGACCTGAACCCCTGCACCACCCTCCTCTAAATATAAAAAAAAAGTGAAGCCATACATCTATACTCTCTGAATCATTTCACGAACACGTACCCATTAGGATAATGTTGGCAAAGAAACAAAATAAGATGTATTATTTGGTAGGCGTTTGTATTTCTGTCAAAGCGAAATAGTAAACATTTTTTTTTTACTTTTTCTTTTGAAGCGTGTCTAGTGTATAGCCCCTAGCTGGTCCCCGAGTCGCATTTCTGCTCTAAAATTTCATTTTGTCATTTTAAAATTATGTTTGCTAATCGGATGTGATTGATCACATCTCAAGTCATGAGGACAACACGATTTATCACATATTACAAGTGGCAACACCTCAGGGCACAACAGCTTTGTGAGTATATAATGCTGCTTCAAAATCCTTCCCACCCATCTGACTGTTCCCTCGCGGCCGTCTCCGCCGATTAACGGGTTTCACTGTGAATGTCCTGGCCTTCAAAGTGATAATAATGTTTCTTTATTAGCCCTATACAATTTCTTGCAGTAGGAATTAATCTTTTCACCAACCCCAGCTTTTCTCCATGAGACACAAACACAGGGAGAGAAGCCTGGGGTCAGAGCGCAGGGTCAGCCATTGTGCGGCGCCCCTGGAGCAGTTGGGGTTAAGGGCCTTGCTCAGGGGCCCAACGGAGTAGGATTCCTCTGCCGGCCGCGGGATTTGAACCGGCAACCTTCCAGCCACAGGCGCAGATCCTGAGCCACAGATCTGCCCAAGTGCCTGGGTGTGAAAACACTTTTTATGATTTTCATGAGGTACTGAGAAGTTGTGTGCCAGCAGAGTCTTCAGAGTACAGTAAAGGGTATAAAAAAAGGAAACGGTGCAGTGACGTTGCTGTATGTTGGGAAGAGAGATGCTAAGAAGACAGTAAAGAGGGAAATTGAAAACAAAAGTCAATTGTTGGCTGGGAAATGTGAAAAAAGACTCTCCAGGCCATGAGACAGACAGACCCCCCCCCAGGCCAAGATACATACAGCCACTAGGGGTCTCTTTGCAACATCAGGAAAGGTGACTGATGGGATACCCCGCTCTCCACAATCGTGGTGACCCTTCAAACCACCACCCCCTCTTCAGCACATCGCGTCTTAGAAAGAGTTCAAAGGAGAACTGCATGAGCGACTTATGGTCTGGTTTCACAGCACTCCGTCAGTGTCAAGCATACAGGGCTACTATTGGAAACCTGGGGGGGTTTATTTAGGACAGGGACTAGGAAACACCTCTTCACTCAAAGAGTAGTGGGTGTCTGGTCCAAACATCGTGCGACATTAAGAAACAGCTGGATGGAATTTAGATTCAGTTCACCCCAGTACCAAATGAACAAGATGAGCCGAGTGCTTGCCTCTCATCTTGAGACCTTTCTTATGTTCCTCTGTACCAACCGGTTCTTGCTTTACACACAGAATTACATGGCTCCTCCTTTTTTTAAGCCCCGTTTTTGATTCTCCTCATTTTCTAAAAACTGCTACCTATCGCGCCTCTAGCAAAACAATACTCAATTACCGAATTAGACTAATTAGAAGAAAAGAAGGGACAAATGAAAAGTTCATCTCTGTGATGTTGCAGTGTTTCACTGGCTAATGAATATCTTAAGGCTAGGTTATTTTCCTTAATTTAATCCTTCAAGTTTTCAAAGTTTCTTAGAGGACATTTATTTTTAAATAAAAGTTGTTTCTGACTTTGCGGAGCTCCTCAGAGAGGGATTACTGCTATGTAACTCCAGTATTCCACTTGCATCTTCTAGACACTGTGGGGAAGCGGTAATGAAGCAAACAGTATTAGAATATAAAGTTAAAAGTGTAGAATCTAAATCAAGGGATGTTAACATTCTCTATTCAGCTCTTATTTAATATATTGTGTCCAATTTTGGTTACCACGTTCAAAATAGATATCCCTGCTCTGGAATCAGTCCAGAGAAGAGCAAACAGATGCAGTACATTCTAAAGTTTAATGGAATGGCCCACACTGACAGACTGCAGCACCTGAATCTCCTTGGTCTTGAGCAGAGACGGCTATGCAGTTGACCTTGATCCAGTCAACCCTCTTCAGAATCAACATCTAAACAAGTAACAGTTAAAAGCAAGAACAGGGTGACAAAGGGCAGGGCTTTGAACACAGGCAGGGGAAAACACACTGTAAATGATCAATGCAAAACGGGAAACTAAGCTTGAAGAGGCTACTGATGACAAAGACGCTGGTGTTTCTCTTGACAAGTCATTTACACCTTCTAGACAATGTGGGGAAGCAATTAAACAGGCAAATACAATGTTAAGATAAATAATTAAAATCATAGATTGTAAATCAAAGGATGTTATGTTACATCAGCAGGAGACGGTTCTTTACACAAAGGGTTGTGGGAGTACAGTTATGTAACATTCTACCCAGACATGTTTTTGAAGGCGATAACCTGGCTCCTTTGAGGAAAGAAGAGATTCTTGACTCTGTTAATTACTTTTGATTAGCAAATAGCTCATCTGCTAAGGTGTCCATGTCCCAGCTTTCAGATGTCATGCAGTATTGTATGGTGACTGGAGCCGAGACAGATTTTAAACTTTGTTTTAAGTTTTAAGAATTTGTTTTTTTCATTTGTAACCATAAGAAAAGTTACAAATGAAAGACCTCTATTCATTCTTGTTTGGTTGTGCGTAGCAAAGTTAACGACATTCATGTTCCTCTGCTGATTGTGAAAAAATCGTTTACCAAAAATTGATCTTGTCAGCCTCTTTGAGGATTTTGAAAGACTGTGTCAGCTGCCCTTGAAGTCTTTTCTGTTCAAGACTAAAGGAGTTCAGTTTAAGGAAGACCAACCAGGCGAATTATGCAGCATACTGGAACAGGCCAGCAGGTTAAAAACTGATTTGAGAGCAGGAATGCCCTTTCAGTAACATTGTGACAAAAACTGCATAGCATTATAAATGAGGCCTTACTAATGCAACAAATGCAAACTTTTACATCCCACACTATTAACTATACATTCTAATGGGTACAATTTTACCATCATCATCCTTGAGGCATCTCCATTATGATGAAAACATAACAGATAGATGTACGGTATACACAATTGTGTGCAGTCCTGGACAGTACAGCACTGCATATGTACTGTAGGACTGTTTTTTTTAAATAGACTCGTATAAATGCTTCAGCGTGGTAAACGAGTTTCATGTTTTTTTTTGCAATGTGGTGATACCTTTACTTGTTCCTTGTGTTTTGAAATTAAGACTTTTCATTTATTTTGGAGCAAGAAAAACAGAAACCTTTTGTCTAGCAAGTTTTCATGCTGGGTTAGAAATATCCTGAAGCCTGAGGATGTTTTCCTGCCTTTAAAAAACATCCTAATGTTAATTTGGACCTTTGTACAGTATATATAATTTATTGCAACTTTCCTCAACATGCGAAGGATGTTAGATCAGGAAGGAGGGTTGTTCAGCATTCAGTTATTCTCCAACAAGATGGCTAGGTAAGATCCATCTTTTCTAAATCCATTTAGACTGCTTCATAAGATAATACTTCCATTCACATAATCCTATAGTTTAGTTCTTATAATCATTTCCATTACCTCATACATTACAGTACAAGTCAGACTTATTGGTCTATAATTATTTGGTTCTTAATGAATTAATTACAGTATTTGGTTTAACAAAAATGAAAAATATACAGTACTTTTCAAAGCACACCGCAATATGATCACAGTTCCTTAATGAGAACTCTCGCCACTGTTTGCTTGAAAATAAAAATAATAATAATTATAATAATAATAACAATAATAATTGCTTACACTTATATAGCGCTTTTCTGGACATCACTCAAAATGCTTTACAGGTAATGGGGATCCCCTCCACCATCACCAGTGTGCAGCATCCACCTGGATGATGCGACGGCAGCTATAGTGCGCCAGAACGCTCACCACACATCAGCGATCAGTGGGGAGGAGAACAGAGTAATGAAGCCAGTTCATAGATCAAAGACCAGATCAAATTCAAAGACCAGATCTAAAGGCTTTTCCTCTTGAAGGTGCTCCAACAGACAGGGTAAGAAAGCTGTCATTAACCATGTCTATCATTCCACTTTGTGCCGAGGCATGTGCTTATGCAGATGCAATTACATTAGAAGTGAAATGTTTTACATATGATTGTCTTCCTGCGGAAAGCATCTTTAATTGAATGCAATGTCTTGGTTGAGTGTTAATAGAAATAGGAGCATGCTTTTTTCATTAAGCCATGTAATGCATGCTCCCGGCAGCGTTTCTGTGCTGAATCGGCAGCAGTGTTCACATGAACAGCCATTCTTTCAGATTGGCCCGGGTCCCACAGCCTGCCACAGTGCTCTCTGAGCTCCAGCCCAGCGCCTGGGCCAGTAAACTTCACTGCGCGTGATGACCGGACAGGGCCGGGTCTGTCAGTCTGGGTGTCCACCTCGAAAAACACAAAAAGACAGTCCAGAGGTCTGTGCTCCCTCACAGGAATTTGTCCTAATTTTTCCAAGTTCGTTTAATCAGTCCGGTATTTTCACAAGAGTGAAGCTGAGGCCAGAACTGCAGGATTCCTTGGGGAATTCGCCAGGGCCTTGGGAGTAACCCCTCCGCATGGACCGAACTGGACTGTCTCCACAGTCACGACTGTAGGAGTCCCAAAAGACTTGTAATAAACATTGTAAGCTACTTATTTATTACCTTGTAGATGTGAGTCACTACAATTAATAATAATAATAATAGCTTACACTTATATAGCGCTTTTCTGGACACTCAACTCAAAGCGCTTTACAGGTAATGGGGATCCCCTCCACCACCACCAGTGTGCAGCCCCACCTGGATGATGCGACGGCAGCCATAGTGCGCCAGAACGCTCCCCACACACCAGCTCTCAGTGAGGAGGAGAGCAGAGTGATGAAGCCAATTCATAGATGGGGATTATTAATAGGACATGATTGGTAAGGGCCAATGGGAAATTTGGCCAGGACGCCGGAGTTACACCCCTACTCTTTTCGAGAAATACCCTGGGATTTTTAATGACCACAGAGAGTCAGGACCTCGGTTTTACGTCTCATCCGAAGGACGGCGCCTATTTACAGTATAGTGTCCCCGTCACTATACTGGGGCATTAGGACCCACATGGACCGCAGGGTGAGCGCCCCCTGCTGGCCCCACTAACACCTCTTCCAGCAGCAGCCTTAGTTTTTCCAGGAGGTCTCCCGTCCAGGTACTGACCAGGCTCACACCTGCTTAGCTTCAGTGGGTTGCCACTTGTGAGTTGCAGAGTGATGTGGCTGCTGGCTACATTAAGGCTACATTAAGTTAGGACCAATTGGTGAATTGGAAGTCGAAACTGCCTGTCAACGTCAGGGGCAGCAGAGGGTCAAGCAGGACGTTCAGTGCTGACTGGAGGAGAGGCGCCTCCCTCACTAACAGCACTGCAAGGCTGCAAACACCCGGCAGGCTGCAGGGGGCGCTGTATTGCTGAAAGCACCTTAGTCTATTCATCCCACCCTTCCCTCGTTGGCACTCACCCAGTTACATGCCAGGGCTGGGAGAATCCTGGTTACAGTCGGCTAGCGACACAACCCGGACTCGACCCTGGGATCGTAAAGCTGCGCTCAGACATCACCTTTACTGGCTGGGCCACTTGGGAGCACACGATTTTGACCTTTCGAAGACATAAATCATAAGTTTCAAAGATTTCTTACATGCAATAACCAATACCAGGGGGTTACATACAGTAGAAAAAACACAGACGCTCCACAACAAACGTCCCCAAATACAGCCAAGAATTGAGATGTGGTCAGCAATAACAGTAAAATATTATTTAGAATTCTAAACATTTATTTTATATGTCTGATTTTGAAAACCTAAGATATGAAGACATTCATGCAGCTTGAATTTGAAATGTGCTTTATATACTGTGAAAAAATATGGGAAATGGTTGTAGAGGGTTGTATTAATATATAATGTTATATATAATTATTATTTTGTACACACAGTTGCTATCCTGCTACTTTCACAATATAAATTCTGTAATCTCGGCAATGGAGACCAAATGAAAAACTACATTTCCAAGCTACCAACAGTTTACTAAGGCCAAAGAGATGATTGCTAATAGTTCATTAAGAAGACAGTTGATTAAGCACAGGTGTCGGCAATAATGGCCTGTTTTCAAGTTACAGTACAAACTTGAACAAAACAAAAAATACTGTAGGTGTCTCTTTTTGTACAGATCAGATTGTTTGACTCAGGCTGGTTTGGACAAATGATGATCAGGTGAAGAGTTCTTGTAGAAAGTATTGTTGATTCATCAGAAGTGGGTGAGTGGATGAGCCAACCAATTTTCCAGAGAGGCAGGTGAAACAGCTTTTCTTTATCGGTACGAATTGATAAGTGCGGGTTAGATTGGGGCTCTGTTAAGCACAGAGGAAAATGGGATAAATCTAAAACCAATAGCTTTGGTGAGTAATGACTTGAATATGCTTCAAAAGTCAAAAGAACAAAAAGCGGAGGTGAGCAGGTGACCAAGGTGTCATAATAATGTAAATAAAAAGAATTCCTAACACTTATATATTCTCTTCTCTGGACAGTCCACTCAAAGCTCTTTACAGGTAATGGGGACTCTCCTCCACCACCACCGGTGTGCAGCCCCACCTGGATGATACAACAGCAGCCAGAGTGCACCAGTACACTCCCCACACACCAGCTCTCAGTGGGGAGGAGAACAGAGTGATGAAGCCAGTTCAGAGATGGGGATTATTAGTAGGCCATGATTGGCAAAGTCCAGGGGGAAATTTGGCCAGGACACTGGGATTACACCCCTACACTTTTTGAGAAACACCCTGGGATTTTTAATGACCACAGAGAGTCAGGACCTCAGTTTTACATCTCATCCAAAGGACGGCACCTGTCTAGTGTCCCCATCACTTTCCTGGGGCATTAGTACTGCAGGGTGAGCAACCCCTACTGGTCCCTCTAATACCATTTCCAGCAGCAGCCTTAGTTTTCCCAGGAGGTCTCCCATCCAGGTACTGACCAGGCTCACACCTGCCAAGCTTGAATGGGTTGCCTGTTGTGAGCTACGGGATGGTTGCTGGTGGATATGTACTGGAGGCTTGAAATCTTCTAATGTCTTCTTTAGCCCTAGAAGCATTCACCTTCTTGTAAAACTTTCTCTTATGATTTTTGTTTAAGCTGCACATCAGTTTCCAAAGTTAAAGCACTTTTGGAAGGGCACACAGATGCTGCTAAGCAGTTGATGTCATTATACACCCCTCTTACTAACTGTGCTGTTCACTCCTCTGGGCTCAATGTGAGCCTGAGAAGCTCATCTACCACATAGTGGTCTTATCTTCTGCCACTACATCTGTGCAAGCTAACTTCTCTGTAGGTCACCTTTGGTGGAGGTAATGTATGAAACAATAATAAACCCTTTATACTCTAATCCAAAGTTGGTGATTCATCAGGCACTGTAAATTCAGTTTGCAAATACACTACAAATGATGTTTTGCTAATAAATCTGTCAGTTATTTTTAATATTGTTACAAAAAATCTTCACAAAGTAGGAGTTCATAAGAATGTTGGAGTGAGTCAGGATAAGAGTGCCGAACACTAAAACAATAAAAAGAAAAGCAGGTCTGTATTCCAGCTTGGCAGTTGCATACTGTACTTTTCTCATATAGAATGCACATCTTTTTCAATAAAACCAAATGGAGTCAGCATATGAGGGCGGTAGAGGAGAGATTATCATGTCCATTAAAAAACGAATGAATACAACCCCAGTCTGGTACACCAGATAAACTTTAATGGACTACCAAACACATAATCCCTCATTTGTCTATTCTCTGTGTCTGAGTGACAAGGGGAGTCAGGGGACAGTCTGGCTTTATTGAGGAGTTAGAGAAATTAAGCTGATGAGCTTTTCTAGGCTGCAGGGCATTTAGGGTACTGAGACAAAGCAAGGTACTGAAGTACTGGGACAAGGTCAAGGTACCGAGGGCCAGTGACAAGTTAAGGCTAGTGTGATGAAGCAATCTTGTTTTCTAAACTAGAGTGGAAGGGGAAAGAAACCGGAATAAATGTGCAAGGAGGAGACACAAAGAGTGGAGTCAGAAAGAGAATACAAGGGAAAAGAGAAACGTTAGAGGACCAGGTGGTTAAATGCTTCAACAAGAATGTTAGGGATATCTGGGACAAAATGCAAGAAGCTACTGAAGCTACTGTTTTAGCGGATACACAGCATTCTCAAGATACAGGAAGGCTGAGAAAGGGAGAGGTGTAGCACTATCTAGCAAAAATAGCATTCAGGCAGAGGAACGTATTTCTGTCTGAATCCAGGATCTGAAAATATATACAGACAAAACATTGAAAAGGCATACTGATAGGGGTATGCTCAAGACTACAGTTACATTGCATGCTATACTATACAGTTCGGCTGCACCCATATACAGTATACGAAAATCAGGAATGTTTGCGTAAAAGAAAGGTGTGGTTATCAGGGGGCATTTTAGTGTTCCTCACATAGTCTGGGAAGCCCATTAGAGACAGCAGCTGAAGCAGAAAGGGTTGACAAGGCTTGCCTGGACTGATGTCATTCACAGTGAGACGATCAGGGAACTGTGATCGTGTTACGATATGCTCTGAAGTATATTACATACGTAGGGGTAGGGTGCTGACAAAAACACAGCTGTAACAACAAAAAAAATAAAGCTCCTTTTACTTGCAAGGTGCTAGAGATGAATCCAACCCCCCCCAAACACACATGAGAGCAAAAGCTAGCAGGTCTACCTGCACAGCTTGTGCCCTCTCTGGAAACAACCAGGCAGCTAAGTGGCATAGCAGCTTCGTGATGAAGTCTCCCCCTTAGACCAAAGTCTCTCCTCAGGAAGCCTGTTTGGGTCAGGGCTTTTATTATTATTATTATTATTATGTTGTTGTTGTTGTTTGTCCTCTCACACTCTTTTCACATGCAGCCCCTAACAGAGGCTCCGGTATCTCCCCAGCCTGCCGAGGTCAACAGCTCCACCGCAAGCTTCCACTTCCCGGTTTCAGTGCCAGTTCCTCCAGTTGGTCCCACTGGCTTCTGGGAAATGGGATTGTGACTGGAGACTCACGTTTCCAGCGCACCTGGCACTCGTGAGCTATCCACACGTACGCACACACACAGACATACGCAAACATTTCACTATCTTGAACAAAGGTATCTAAAACTGGTTTAAAACGTGAACAAACTTGTCCTAGTCTGGAATTCCGAGGATAGCGTTGCGTGCTCTGTGGCGCACACAGAGAAAAGTAAGGTTGTTTACGTATAGTCAAAACTAAACATTAACTCAAACCAAACACGCGGTTTTCCTTGATTTGTAAGTGAAATGAACTAAATTGGTGTTTTAAATAAATACCTTGTTTTGAATTCTCACCGGCAAAACATTTTCTGCTGCCTCAGGTGTGTCTGGTCCAGGGTTGCGCTTGCATGGATCGATTTATAAGAAGATACCATTAAGAGGTAATATTTTCTTAACATTTTTATGTACATAAAAGGAGTAATGACATTTTATTTTTGTGAATAATATGTTAATTGTTTAATTGTGTCTGTACTGGAGAAAGGTGTATATCAGAATTCTGATTATTATTTTGTAGAATTCGTTTTTGCTTTATAGTGGAATATTCTAGGGGGAGGAGTTTAACTTAGAAAAGGAGGAGAAAGGAGGAAGTTGATAGTAGTGTAGAGTAGAAGCTGCCTACAGCAGTCTGTTTGTTTAAATCAATTAATGAATATATTCTTGTTCTAGAGTTTTGTGTTGTTTTTCCCCATTGGTCAGTTTGTATTTTTCACTTTGGTGTTTCGGTGTGGACTTTGGGAACACAGTTCCTCACAATAAACACCATTGCACTTCTTTGCAATTGTGGCTGTGCCTTCATCATTGCTGCATTCCATCTACACCTCTAAGCTTCTGAAGGACAAGACTGTGACAGTGATTAAGACGAGCCTCCATATATATATATATATGTTGGAGATGAATGCGAAGGGAGGTGTCTGAGTCTGGTTTATGTAGCTTGTTTCGTAATGATGGTGATTAGGAGCAGCTGTGTGAGATTGACTTGTCATTGTTGTCCCTCCCCAACTTCAGTTAATAACTTCCATTTCAAGCTTCCAGGAAATGACATCAGCTGTGATTGCAAATTAGGGCCTCTGAGAGATAAGAGGACTCAGACACTGTCCTTTCCTCCTGATGTTTCATTGTGAAGTCCATTAAACAGACATTTTTATCCAAAGCTCCTTACATTTCTACAAACGGGCATTTTTCGGATTTGAGCCCACTTATTCCAGTCTTCAGCCAAGAGCCTAGCCACTCCTCCACATTGCTGGCTTAGAGTTGATCATGTTCGACAGGTGGAAATCATCCAGGTGCACAGGCCTTTTGTATATTACACCTATATAGGAGTGTCAGTAATTATTAATCATTTTTTTCACAGCTCTGACAAAGCATGGATTGTTGATAGAGTTAATTCTCCTTTTGGATCACCCAGTATATTTTGCAATTATACCACATCTGGTCATCAGGCCAGTAGCTAACCTCATTATCACACATTGCCATAGGAGAAAAGTAATGTCAGCACCAGTATTTGCACATTATAACACCAATTAGCGCTTAGTAAGCACCATAGTAACAGGCTGTTTTCAATATCATTAGCCTCCCTCAGTCAGGGTTTGAAGCTCCTGCAAGTCTGGCTCTGTGCTTTGTGTCCCCTCAGGAGATATTCAGGTAAGCAAACGAGTGTGCCCAGGGGAAGTGGAATTTAAGCTCTAAAGAAAAAAATGACATTTCAATTGAAAGCTGTTAAACGTGCATTCTTAAAGGCAAATCTTCTGTACTCTCCTCAAAAACATTCCAGAGCTAGAACACACACCACAAGTGCAAACGCACCAATCCAGACAGGAATACGTTGGGATCGTGGTGGAACGATTCCACGATACAGGTAAATACACACCTGGTCACTGTGTGTTCTTCTTCCTAATGCTGTGAGAAGGCAGGGGCCATTAGAGGAGTCCAGCTCAGCCCAGGCTGACATCAGTCAATCCCTGCGACAAAGATGTGTATCAACCTGTTGATAAATCCATCACTGATTCACTCAGCTCCCACTGAGGGACCCTAGACTACACTAAGCAATGGAGAAATGGTCATACATATTAATTGGTGTGACCTTGACACTCACACTTCATACTTTCCTTCACAATACATTTAAACAACACAGAACGAGGGACATGCAGTAGATATCAATTTTACTTTCTTACAATCCTGGGCTTCTCAGTTTTTATAACTCATCTATGAATGGAAATTTGAGTACTTCATGCTGTAAAACCATAAAGGAAAGACAATCTGAAACTCTCAAACACAGCCTCCTGGAAGCCTGGTGATGGAAATATACAGTTTTTTTAAAAAAGAACAAGGCAGGAGCTAAAGGTGATTGGGAAATCTTGCTTTCATGACAGTGAAAACGGCACTACTACTGTTTACAAAGAAAGCTCTCAATGTTCTCCACAAAGCCTGGATAGGGCTGCAATCTGGCAGTATCTTTTACTGCTATGAGCAATTCAGCTGACAATCCCATTGTACTGCTGTGCACATACTTAACACCTTTAGCCCAGAACTTCCCTACAAAGGCCCATCCTTCACGGACCTCTCCTGAACTGAGGCAAAGCATTCTGCTCAGTGAAGAGGACCATGACTTGAACTGCTTTCTGCTACTGGACTTCCAGAAGTTTGGCGAGATCCTAATGAATGATGTGACTCGTGCAGCTGGGGGAATGGCAGCCCAGCTGTGAGGGTAAGGCCGCCCGGACCCCCCTCACTATTGCAAGGAATGAGCTGGGGAGCTGCTGCAGGGGTGTAGATGGAGAGGTGTGAGGGATGTGAGAAAGATACCTGAAGGGTCCTGGGTGCGACAGTTATGTACGTACAGTAGACGTAGTAGCAGAAGAATGTGAGAATAAGATCTAATCTCCTTCCCAAAGGTCTGTTATAAAGCTCCAGAGGACAACTACCATGGACTATGAAAGGCCCACACAGGCACTCATGTAAATGGGATGGAACACAGGTTCCCAAGCCTGGTTCTGGGGACCTCCCATACCTTCAGGATTTCATCCCAGCTGGGATATCGACTTACTGTAAATGACTCCTTAACTGAACCAACAAGTCACTTGGGCGGAATCTTTTGCAAGTTTTATCTACTACTCAAAAGTTGGAGACTTTAAAGTCACTGAAGAAAAACACACAATAGTCAAAAGGTTAGCCCGCTAGATGTTTAGGAAGTGAAAATGATTAACGAGATCAAACTTGCTCAGCAAGTGCAGGGGTTTCCTGGGCAGGGATTGGGAGCCCCTGTGCGGAACATGTCTCACAAGTAGTGCCAGAGCTTAGAGAAAGCTGCCAGCCTTAAAGATGTTTAAATAGAAGGCTCTGATGTAGAAATGTGCATTTGAAACAGATTAATTTAAATGCAGATTAATGGCACTTGCTATACAGCTCCACTGTCCTGTCAGAATACAGACAAGGTTGAATTTAAAGTACTCTAATAATATTTCTGTGTTGTGGATGATGCAAGGACAACAACAAGAAGTGTGTCACTAATAAGGGCGGCTGTTGCTTTGAGTGGCCGTTTGTGGATGAGGCATCTGGAGAGATTAAGCTCGGAAAGAGAAATAGATGCAGGCATTTGCAAGTTGGTTAAGTGCATGAATTCGCACAAGGGGCAGCAGAGCGATCAGTTTAAAGGGCTGTGCTTGCAGCCTCTAAGTTGTGTTGGAGAAATCACACAGGATCTCAAGGTTGCTGCTGTGTCAGAGGCGCTGGCATTGGTTATTAAGGAGCATCCATGGCCAAACGGGATCAGCGGCGCACGTGAAAAGCATTACAGATTATGAAAGATGAAGGAGAGGAGAGACCAGGGCATGGCTTTGTCCCCCTCTCCAAAGACGTAGGTTACGGTTCGTGCTGATATCAGAGAGGGTTTAGGTACTGAGGCTTCTAGACGGTGGCAGACTAGGGGCAGGGAGACAGCAGCTCCATGTCAGGCACAACTCCCCTGTTCCAAAGAGAGACGGTAGGCAGGGAGCACTGCTGGGATATGGAGCTGAGGAAGAGATAGCTCCCAGACTGCTGCTTACGGAGAGGGAATCCCTGTCTCAGTGCGGGAACTGAGAAAATCTCTCAGGGAGAAGAAGGTTGGTTACCAATCATTGCGAAAGGTGCTGCGCAGAGAGAAAACACAGGGGTAGAGAGAAACAAAACTTCCCCTAGAGCCTTCACTTCTGGAGACTTTGGATCGTACAGTTTGGCAGTGAAAGCGTGAAACATTGAGAGGAGAAAGTCCAGGGGCAGGCCAGCTAAAACACCACCTAATAGTTTTGAAGCTGGGAGACCTGTCAGTATGACCAGTGGAAGGTTTGCTCAGTGCCCACACTGGTGAGGAACAGGGGCCTTGGTTCAAGGTGGGATTACTTTGATATCGCCGACATAATAAGACTGTGCTGTGTGTGCACTTTTCACCTGCGCCAGTTGAAGCACAGAGGAGCAGAGCGAAGAGTGCGATTGGAAAGTCAGCTGGTAAGAACATTAACAATTCCCTTGCCCACTGAACCACACACAGTAAAAATAGAGAGTAAAATAATTAAGGACAAGCTGACAAAAATCCCATTTGGGCTCCAACTTCCCCCCTCCCCCTTCCCCCACAGCTGTGAACATTTTTGTTCATAAGCCCTGGAGGTCTCCAATGTGCATGCTAATGACATTTTAAGTCCCTTCTACTCATTTGGAAGATCTTTAAGGTCTTTCATTCCCTGAGTTTCAAAACGCCAGTAGGTACACAGTGCTGTGTTCAGAATAGATGATGCTACTCTGCAGCAGTGGGAAATGTAGACTTCAGGTGGCAGCCATGTAAATTAGGAACAGCAGGCACATGATCTTCAGTACCTGTTGTAAGAAGAGCTGATAACTAATCAAGCCAATTAGCTCAACATCAGTTGCTGGAGGTGGAAAAACGCCTGCCATTATAAGCATAAATATGACTGAATTATTTATATACAGTTGTGGGAGACAGGAAAGCATACTGTTTGAGCCTCCTCCTCCACGAAAACATGAAAACAATGTTTCCAAGCTTGCATCCCCTCACCTGTTTTCACAGTCATTAATATTTCAGTGTAAAAAATTAGTTTCTGGGTTTTCTCAAGCAATATTGGGTTCCTTTCTAGTTTGCTTTGGGTGCAGTGACATTTGAAGAAGCCAGGAATTAGGAGGTCTGACTCCACACACTGCTCTGACACAGAAATCTGACTCCACTCACTGCTCTGACACAGAGATCTGACTCCACACACTGCTCTGACACAGAAATCTGACTCCACTCACTGCTCTGACACAGAGATCTGACTCCACACACTGCTCTGACACGGAGATCTGACTCCACACACT